GCTGCCTCCTGCACCCCCTCTACTGGGGATGTGCTGCAACCAAGGTGCATGCCCTTGACCAGAAGGGAACCTGGGACCCTTGAGTCCGCAGGCCGACGTTCTATCCTCTGAGCCAAACCGGTTACGGCATGAAGAGCTAATTTAAAAGTCAGCTACCATCACTTAAAAACCAGGATTTTAGTCAACATTCCTAATGTCTATTTTACTCACTGGTTTCCTACCTGACCCCTGCAGCCTGGAGAGTTTGAGACTACATTCTAGCATCTGCTCTGTCCTCCCCACCACGGAAGTCTCTCTCTCTGCATCCTCTCAAAACCTCTTTGCCCTTGAAGCGGTAGGCAGCTCTGGAGCCCCCAGGCCCAGGTTCCCATCATGGCTCTGTCCACACTCTGCCTTCTGTGACATGGGCGCAGCTGCCCATTCCACAGCTGCCCTGATCGCCCCTCAGCTCCGGGTCCCGTCCAACTTGACCCTGCTGCCCGGACACCTGTACATGATGGCCGAGGCCCTGGCCAAAGAGGAGGCGCGCCGCGCGCAGGAGATGCCCTCGTGAGTGCCGCCTCGCGCTGGGGCTGGGGGTGGTGTGAGCGGGGTCGAGGGTGGGCTGTGAGCAGCGTCTCTGGTTGGGTCTTAAGGTGAATACAGGGCTGCATTCGTGCTGCAGCGGGGTTAGGTTCAGACTTGGTGTTTGGGGGCTGGTCTAGGTGCCTGGAGGACCGGACTGTGCGCCTTCGGAAATGGAACTGGGGGCGGGGGCAGAGCAGGGTCTCCTGGAGAAGGAGGTGAGGTTGGGTCTTTGAAGGTGGCGATTCTAGGTTCCCTGGGAAGGGTCAACATCTCCGGGGGAGTCCTAGCTGGTTTGGCTCAGTGGATAGAGCATGCGGACTGAAGGGTCCCAGGCTCGGGGTTGCGGGCTTGATCTCCAGTGTGGGGTGTGCAGGAGGCAGCCGATCAATGATTCTCTCTCATCATTTATTTTATTTTATTTTTTTTATTTTAAATATATTTTATTAATTTTTTACAGAGAGAAAGAGAGAGGGATAAAGAGTTAGAAACATCGATGAGAGAGAATCATCGATCGGCTGCCTCCTGCACACCCCCTACTGGGGATGTGCCCGCAACCAAGGTATATGCCCTTGACGGGAATCGAACCCGGGACTCTTCAGTCCGCAGGCCAATGCTCTATCCACTGAGCCAAACCGGTCTCGGCTCACATTATTTTTAAAAAATATATTTTATTGATTTTTTACAGGGAGGAAGAGAGAGGATAGAGAGCTAGAAACATCGATGAGAGAGAATCATCGATCAGCTGCCTCCTGCACACCCACTACTGGGGATGTGCCCGCAACCAAGGTACATGCCCTTGACTGGAATCGAACCCGGGACCTTTCAGTCCGCAGGCTGACGCTCTATCCACTGAGCTAACCGGTTTTGGCTCTCTCTCATTGATGTTTCTATCTCCCTCCCTCTCCCTTCCTCTCTGAAATCATTAAAATAAATATATTTATATTTTAAAAAGATCTCCAGGGGAGGGTCTAGTTGCTTGAGGGGCCAGGCTGGTCCTTCAGGGGCGGGTCCAGGTGCCCAGAGGCGTGGCTGGTTGGCCAGGACCGACCCAGAACAAGCAGGAGGCGAGACTCAGTGTTGGAAGGGGGTGTGAACGGGGTGTGAGCGGGTGTGAGCGGGGCGGGGCTGTGTGTGTGTGGGAGGGGGACGGTACGCACGGGAGGAGGCCCGTCCTGTGTGAGACTCGACCCTCTGCAGGTGCTTCCTGAAGGTGAGCCGGCTGGAGGCGCAGCTGCTGCTGGAGCGCTACCCCGAGTGCGGGAACCTGCTGCTGCGACCCTGCGGGGACGGCGCGGACGGCGTGTCCGTCTCCACGCGCCAGACGCTCGGCGGGTGCGCAGGCGCAGCTCGGAGGCCGCGGTGGGGGGCGTGATCAGGCGTGGGGGCGGAGTCCCAGCTGGGAGGGGCGGGACCAGAGGGCAGGAGGGGGCGGGGCCGGCATGCCGGGGGCGGGGCCTCCCTCGGTCGGAGCCCGGCGCCCAGCCGCCCGCTGCCCCGCAGGACGCCGCTGGTCCGGCACTACAAGGTGAAGCGCGACGGCCCCCAGTACGTGATCGACGTGGAGGAACCGGTGAGCAGCGGGGCGGGGTCCCGGGAAGCACACGGGCGGGTCCGCGCCCCTCCCCAGCGGCCCAACCGGACCCCTTATCCGCCCCCAGGTCTCCTGCGCCTCACTCCAAGCCGTGGTCAGCTATTTCGTGTCGCAAACCAAGAATGCGCTGGTGCCCTTCCTCCTGGACGAAGACTACGAGAAGGTGCTAGGTGGGTGAGGACCCAGGGCCCAGGCCCGCCCCTCCCGCCTCCCGCCTCCCGGGGACGCCCTCCGGTCAGCCCCGGGCGGGCCGCTGCGCCTCCTCCAGGCAGCCCTCTCTGTTCTAGGCTACGTGGAGGCGGATAAAGAGAACGGCGAGAGTGTGTGGGTAGCGCCCTCGGTCCCCGCAGTCCCCTGCCCAGGTGATGCTCCTCCCCAAGGCAGCCCCAGGGGCAGAGGGTGGGGAAACCTGGGACCCACGTGGTGCCTCCTGTGCCCAATCTTGTAGCCAGGAATTACCCAGACCCTGCCCTCTGGGGACTTCCAGGTTGTAGAGGGGGCAGACAGAGCTGGATACAGACACTCCCAGCCCTGTGGGATTGAACCTAGGGCTGGTACAGTGCCTGGAATAGGGGAGGAAGACAAGAGGGGAGGAGGGGGGCAGGGTAGGGGGAAGGCATCCAGGCGGAAAGGGTGTTTGCTGAAGTTCCCAAAGATTTCAGTAGGCAGAGATGGGCCGGAGGGGGACAGAAGGTGCAAGTGGAGTAAGAACTACCCTGAGATGGGAAGTTGGGAGGGTGATGGAAAGGCATGGGAGGCAGTCCAGCTTGTGGAGCAGGAGGGAGAGGTTAGCAGCAGTATGATCCGCCCTGGGCTGGGCAGATGGGGGAGGGGGCATGTACGTATCTATTCATATGCACATGCCACAATCACCAGCACAGACTGTGTGACCTGAATAATCAGACCCATGTAGACAACAGCTCCACACATGCATGAATGCCTGTGTCATGATTCTATTCCATCTAGCACACATGCATACCTTCATCCACAGTTATGTGTACACAGCACAGATTCAGACACTTATAGACACCTGAATGTACACATGGAGACAAGTACCCCAGCACAGACGTTAGCATCCATGCACCGTTACACATATTTACATTTAACGTATTCAAACTCACGCAGTGTTCATGCTTATGCTACACAGGGACTTATAAATGGACATGTTTGCAGACACATGTGCACAGGGACCCTTGCCTGTATCCAGGCACGTACACACACGTTCCTGCTCAGAAGCACACAGACCCACCCTGAGGTCTCCCTGCACCACGTGGGTCCCAAAATCACTGCTGTTTCCCACCCACCAGGTGTGGCATCCCTTGCCGGCGGCCCCAAGCAGCTACCTCCCGTGCCCGCCATACCCGCGCTGAACCCGGATGAGGACTATGTCATCCCCATTAAAGATGCCCCCGTGACCGACTACGAGAACAAGGATGGTGGGTGGGGGGCCGGTGGGGCTGAGAGAAGGGGCAGGGGGAGCAGGCTCACGGCCCATGTGGCACCCGGTATCTCTGTCTACGCAGTGCTTTCTCCTGGTTGGCCAGAGGTTCAGAAGCCCAGGCAGTGTTCCCCGGCCCCAAGAGTTCAGGCAAAGCCACACATTGCACCCAAGCCAGGTAGGGGACCCTCTTCCCCAGCCCCTCCCGCATGCGTGGAGGGCCATTCTCAGCCTTTATCTGCCTTCTCCAGAGCCCAGGGGCCTTCCCAGCGGCCCTGTCAAGAAGCTGGCCATTGGCTCAGCACAGGGTGTCTCCGCCACAACAGGTACGGGGCTGGGGGCGGGGGGCCGATGTGGGAGGCGTGTGCACTTCACAGGCGTGGGGCCTGTGCAGTGACACAGGACCCAGCACTCTGAAGGGCCTGCGCTTGGCCTGTGCTCCACTGTCTTCATCTCAAAACCCCTCCTGCCTCTTGAACACGTTTTCATCTCCCGCTGGGGCCCCACATATTTCTGCAGCCAGTCCCGGGTGGGTGGGGTGGGGCAGCATGGACTGGGGATTTCTGGGTGCAGCTGATGAAATCCCCCCAGGGTTGGCCAAGGTGACCGCAGAGCTGGAAGAGAAGCTGCAGAGGCGGCGGGCCCTGGAACACTCAGCCGAGCACCCCGGGGACTAGCGGGCCAGGCTCGGAGCGCGGCGCGGCAGTCAGATGGTCCCCTCCTCCCAGAATTAAAGTTCGAGTGACCGAGGCCCGTGAGTGTGACGTGGCTCAGCGGGGCAGGGAGGGGTTCATCGGCTGGCTCCACTCACTCCTTAAGATCGGCAGCTCAGATGAACAACATAGACGGATGAACAAAAACAGACTCAGAGAAAGAGAAGCACCGAACAGACTCTCAAACCTCAGAGGGAAAGTAGGGGAGGGTGGGGGTAAAGGGGAAGAGATCAACCAAAGGACTTGTGTGCATGCATATGGGCCTGGCCAGTGGCCATGGACAAGGGGGGGGGGGAATGTGTAGGGAGGGGTTTGGGATGGGATTGGGGGGACGAGTACAATTATGTGATACCATAATCAATAAAAATAAAAAATAAAAAAGGTCGGCAGCTCAGCAAACACCGCCATCTGACTCTGCCAGGAAAGCCCGTTTCACAGCGGGGAAAGCGGAGGTCCAGAGAGGGCGAGGCGCAGCCAGCGCCTCCCGCCCCGAAGAACCAGCAGCACCCCGGCCAGTGTCTGACCTTTATTGGGAAGTAAGGGGGAGGAGGTCCTGCCTGGGGCCCGCTTCCTGTTGGTGACCCCCGGTAGGAGTGAAGGCTCCGAGCAGCAAGTGAGAAGAGGGTGCCTGGCTGAAAACAGCCGAGACCCGGCGGTGGCCCCCAAAACCAGCCCCGCAGGGCGCGCCGGCCTAGGTGAGGCTGGTGTTGGAGCTGCTGGTGGCACTGCCTCGCTTCTGCAGGCAGCGCACCGAGCTGGGGACCTGCAGGCCCGTCGTCACCTGGAAGCTGCCGCACCAAACCTGGGAGACAGGGAGGGGGAAGAGGAGGCTCGGCAGCAGAGCCATCACCCAGAGCCACACACCCCCACCCCCACCCCAGGCCGTGGAGGGGACCTTACCGTGAAAGCAGGCAGCAGTGGCTGAGTGAACTTGGCCTTGAAGGTGTGCAGCAGCTGCTTGGTGCGGGCATTGTAGAAGGACAGGAGGCCTGGGTGGGGGGCAGAGGGGCGGGGCCGGTTAGAGGGCTTGCGGCAGGGAGATGGGACGGGCAGAGGTGGCTGGAGGGGCCAGGGGGGGCCCAGGGTCACCTTGGTGGAAGTCGCAGTGCACGCCCAGGCGGTCAGGCACGGGGGCGTCCAGCACCTTGGCCTTGTTGGCATGCTTGGCGGTGAAGCTGACCTGCAGCCAGTGGTTGATGTGCAGGCACCAGGACGCCGCGGTCTTGCCCAGCTGCTCGAAGCGGCCGAGGCTGCGGTAGGCCACCCCCACGCCGAATGCCTTGCTGTCCGGCTCATAGTGCACCTCCCAGTAATGTTCCCCGCCGTCGATCAGTGTGTCCCCTGTGGGGCAGGGTGGGAGTGAGAACGGGGTAGGATAAGGTCCCGAATGCTTCCACAAAGGGGCAGCCACCTAGGTACTCCCCAGACCACAGCTATTCCCTCCAGATACTCCTTGGTCCCCAGCTATTCCTTCCAGGTATTTCCCAGGATTTATCAGTTTCCTCTAGATACTAAGTCCAGATTCTCTCCGAGCTTCCACTAGTCCTTTCAGATTCTCTACAAGCACAAGCTACTCCTTCCAGATACTCCCAGGCCTTTAAAAAAAACCCCTTCCAATTCTTCCCCATGCTCAGTTACTCCTCAGCACTCAATTCTTTCCAGAAACTAGATAATCCCCAAACCTTTGCTCCTGGCTGATTCCAAGCATTCCCATAGGCCTCCAGTCCTACTGGAGTCCAGACACTTTCCAGGACTCCAGACTCCTTCCCGCTGCTCCCCGGACTCCCAGTTCACTCCTGGTGAAGACCAGATTCTTCCAGACCTCAGCTTCCCTTCCCCTCCCCAAGCCTTCCCTTCCCACCAGCCAGCACCACAACACATGTTACTGGGACCATTCCCAGAGAAGCCTTGTTGATAGCTGCCTCAGTTTCTCCAGCCATAGAAGTTCTCTCCCACACACCGCAGCCTCAGAGCCCTGGCCAGGGTTCCCCGCTCTCCTCCAGGCTCCCCCCTCCTTACCTAGCACCGTGTAGGATTCAGCCGTGAAGCGGTCCCGTCCCCCACGACCTGAGGATATCCTCTTGGGAGATGGAGTGCCTCTGTGGGTGACAGGGCGGGGAGCACTCAGCTCAGCCCTCCCTCCCGCACCGGGATGCTCCCCTGGTCCCCGGGCACTGCGGACTTCTCATCGGTCCTTGGCAGTACTTGGTCCCGTTCACACGCTGGGCCCCTGCTGTCAGTGCATGCCTGTGCCCTTGCTTGTCTGGAAAACCGTGCAGCCGTCAATACCCAGCTCAAAGCCTCCTCTCCTTTGACCTGCTATTTTGGCTCCCCGGCTCCCCGTCCCTCCCTCCACCCAGCCTCGCCCACACGGGGTTGTGTGTTCACGCCATCCTGACCTCCTCTACCAGAGACCCGGGGGGGGGGGTACCTGGCTGGGGAGTTGACGGGAGACGCCGTCCGCCCCTTGCCATCTTTCTCTCGAGCTTTGATATCCTGCACCTTCCCGCCCATGGCGTCCCACTCCACGGAGAGCTCGTCCACCCGGAGGTTCTGGTGGGATGTGGATGCGTCCAGGCGGAACATGAACGCTGGGGCCGGGCAGACGCGGGAGTCACAGAGATGGGGAAACCCGGAGAGACACAGAGACAGACCAACAGTGACCAAGACAGACCATGACAGGGACAGAGAACAGAGAGAGACAAGACACAGAGAGAAAGACACCGATAAAGTCTCAGAGACAGACGGATACAGAGACCACAGGCAGAAAGACAGCAAAAGACACAAGATGGGGGGGGGGGGGGTCAGCCAGAGGAATGAAGGCCAAGGGCTTGTTGTCAAAGGCTTCCCAGGCCTGGGGCAGTTTCCAAACCACTTGTGCTGCCTGTCCTTGGGGATTAATCCCAAGAAAGAGGTGGGCAGCCATTGGACAGGTAAGCTGGCCTGGGAAAAGCCGTGCAGTGGTCACAGTGGGAGGCTAAGACACTGTCCGCACCATGACACACTCCCCAGGTCTACAGAGCACTTACTCGTTTGGGGAGAGAGGAAGTGTGTGTGTGTGTGTGTGTGTGTGTGTGTGTGTGTGTGAACCAGCCAGGTAAAGAGGGCTCAAGAGCAAAAGTAAAGGACAAAAGCAGGTTTATACCAGACACTCAGGGTGCGGACTTCTACTGTGGACCACGCTCTGAGCTTTCTGGCAGCCAGGGCCAAAAGGGTCACAGAATCCTGAAGATCCTCATTTCACCCCAGTCCCGGGGGTCCCAGGAGTGAAGGGCGATAGTTAGAGCCAGGGTAGGGGCGGGAGCCAGTCACCTGGTGTCTCCAGGGTCACTGGCTCGGAGAACTCGCCTGCAACTGCCTTATTGCAGGCCTTCACACGGAAGTTCATGTACTTCATGTCGAACTTGAGACCTAGGAGACAACAGAGGAAATCTCAACACAGACTGTGAGCAGGAGGTTAGAGGCCCGTGTCCCACAGTGAGCCTGCCACAGCAGAGCACCTTGCAAACAACATCTTAACCTCTCAGAAACCTTACCCACATACGCCTATGGAGTTATGAATTACTGCGCTCTGCACCCAACCCAGACCGGCCAGAATCTTCCCTAGGATGCTGGCTGGTACCGGGAGCAAAGCAGAGCTGGCCAGCTTGGAGGAAGTGCCTCCAGGGGCTATTGCCAGTGCTCTTGGCTAGTCTCCTGGAGAATGCAAGCCCCAGAGCCAAAAAGTGCAACCCCTGGATCTAGCCATACCTGGTTACTTATGCCCCTTCTGGTTGCTCCCCGTTGGTGTTTGCAGGCTCTCCCTCCCCTCTCCCGGTTCCCACCCCAACTGCCTCCCTGTGGATTCCCTTCTCTGAATTCAGCAGTTTGCTCAGCAGCGCCATCTACTGCTCCAGAGCTAAGATTGCCACTCAGAAGACTTGGATTCAAATATGGAACATGGCCTAGAGTCCCTCACTGTGTGTCTCAGTTTCCTCTTCGGCCAAAACAGAGATCATATTCCCCATGCTGAGCAGGGCTCACATGAGGATGAGATGAGTTGAGAAATGGAAATCATAAACATTTAACCAACCCCCCCGTCTTTCCAAGCAATCAACGAGATAGTAGGTTGATTGCAAATGACCACATGGGTTATTTCCATAGGTGAGCACATTCACATATTCCTCAATACCACACACCTTCTAATAGATTCCACTTCCTACCCTGAGGACTCACTCCTAGGAATTTTGTAAAAGGCGAGAGAGTGTGGTGATAAAAAGTGCATCAGAAAGCCTGAGACAGAGCAGATCTATACCTGGATTGTGGTGGCAGTGACAAGAATTTGCATGTGGGGTAAACTTGCCTATGGGATTACACACACACACGTGAATGAGGGTGCGTGAAACTGGTGAAATGTGAATCAACACCAGAATGTAGCCATGTCAGTTTCCTGGCTCTACTATTGAACTACAGCGATGTAAGCTGCCACTACTGGAGGAAGTGGGACATACCCAGACAATGGTCAGCCTTAAAGAAGGAAGGAGTGCCAAAACCAGTTGTGAATGTACTTAATGCCACTGAGCTGTGAAGCCTAAAATGGTTAAGCCTGGCTGTGGTAGCTCAGTGGATTGAGCGTTGTCCTGGCTTCGATTCTCGGTCAGGGCACATGCCTGGATTGCGGGCTTGATCCCCAGTACATCTCTCTCTCTCCCTTCCTCTCTGAAAACAATGAAAATGTATTTTTTAAAATGGTTAAGATTGGACATGTTCTCCCTCCCAGGAGCATGTCCAAGCCCTTCTTTCCCTGTTTCTCAACTCAAAGGACCCCACAAAGCTTGCAACCAGGGCAGCAATGAGCAGCAACAGCTCATCCAGGACTAACCCCCTCACTCCCCGAACCTGATCCCAAGACTCCCTTTTCTCTTTTTTTGAAAAGTTTTCACCTAAATTTATTATTTAGCTACACTTACTCCCTCCATGTAAAAATTTGTTGGCAAAATTTTTCTTCTTTTATCCTGTGCAAGTATATTTACTCTCCTTTAAATATATCTCTGACTTCTTAGCCAGCCTAGACTCATTTCCCAATCTAGACCCTCTCCCGTTGTCCTAGGCCCTTCCCCAGCTTTAATAAATGCCCTCTAGCTCTAGCCTGTTCTGCTCAGCGGTTAGAGTGTTGGCCTGCGTACTGAAGGGTCCTAGGTTCGATTCTGGTCAAGGGCATGTACCTCAGTTGCAGGTTCAATCTCTGGCCCTGGTTGGGGTGCATGTGGGAGGTAACCAATCGATGCATCTCTCTCACATCTATGTTTCTCTCTCTCTCTGTCTCTCCCCTCCCTTCCACTCTCTCTAAAAATCAATGATCCTCTGGTGAGGGTTAACAACAAAAAATGACCTCTAAAATTAAAAAAAAAAAAGAGGTTAAGATGATAAATGCTATATTATTTTACCACAATAAAAAAGATTGAGGAAAATGGGGTGTGTTTATTTTTTGATTCCCACGCAAAGGATAAACCAATAGCTTCTCAGGCCATCTTGCAGGCTGGTGGCTTTTCTTTCCAGCAATTAGCATACTTATTATTAACTGTGTTTGCTAATTACAGACAAGAGCAGGCTGATTACCGCCCGGGGGGGGCGGTGGTGCTAGTTATCCTGCCAGCAAGGCACTCCTGGGATTTCCCTGGCTCAGGATGGCTCTGACACCCAACCCTCCCCCGCCTCATACCCTCCCCTACCAGCTGGGTGGACTCCCCCAAGCTTTCTTTTTAAAAATATGTTTTTATTGACTTCAGAGTAATAACAGTTATTACTACTTCCTGTTAGAAACATCAACACCGCCTCCTGCACGGATCATGCCGGCAACCAGGCACGTGCTCCGACCGGAATCAACCATAACCTCCCGGTTCGTGGGAGAATGCTCGACCACTGAGTCACAATGGCAGAGCCTCGTACCTGCCAAGGAAGTCCCCAAACACTGAGAGGGTGGCCCCAGACACCAGCTCCGTGTCTGCTTTCTCACTGCTGTAAGGACAGCACCTAGTACAACGTAGTCACTCAATAAACATGAATGAATGAATGAATGAATGAATGAATGAATGAATCATGGAGAATACAATAAGATGTGGACAGAGAGTGCCTTCTTCCCCTGTATCCCCCCCTCTGTAAAATGGCGGTAAGCCTGCCAGTTACACAGGGTAAAACGTTTAGCACACAGTGAGCAGTAAGTGCTACTGTCATCAGTGTCCTGGTTATTACTACTTCCTGCTTCTCCTGATCGGTCCGTCCAGGCTGAGTAGGGGGGATCACCCACCCACCTCAGCTGGCTGACAGGGAAGCGGGGCCCAGAGGGATTCAGCGGCACAGGGGCTGGCAGCCGCCGAGCCGCCCGTACCGGTCAGGGTGTACTCCGTCTGCCGGATGCCCTCCACCACCATCCAGGGCTGGTCCTCCTTGAGGCGGGGCGGGCCCTCGAAGTTGGTACTCCAGCACGTAGTGGTCGATTTTGCTGTCCTCCTCCGGCATGCGCCACACCAGCGTCACACAGTTGTCTGCCACCAGAGACTCGGCCAGGTCGATCTCAGGGGCGCTGGGGACTGACCAGAGAGAGCGGGAGGGGTCAGGGCCCCGCACCCGCAGGGGCAGGCCTTGCTGAGCCCGTCCACGGGACAGGCCTCCTTGGGGATGAAGCCTTCCCTGGATCCCACCATGGGGGACCCCTCGAGTTCAGGGTTCCATCGAAGCGTGAGACGGGGGAGAGAGCTTCTTCAGGGTTCATCCAACCAATGGCTGGGCCTCTTCAGGATTCCACCACTTACAGGTAGAACGCCTCCAGAATTCTCCACCAGCTAGGGTCGTGGCCTCCACGGAACGCCACCCCTGATGGGCGGGGCCTCTGGGGCTCTGCCACCAGGGGCGGGGCTTCCTCAAGATTCCACCTGGTGTGTGGCCGCCTCGTGGCACCAGGGGGGCTTCTTTATGGCTCCACCCAAGGGCATTCTTGGGGTTCCCTTACTCCAAGCCTTGTCTCAGGGCCTCCCAGGCTCCCAGCCTCTTCCCTGGAACCCTGGGACGGCCCCCTCTCACCCGGCAGGAACTTGAGTGCCTGTAGCATCCTCCTCTCCTGGGCAAAGTCCACCATGAGGTGACTCATGTTGTCACTGACCTTGGCTTTCAATGACAGCCGGAAGGCCGGGGCCATGGTCACCCTGCCGGGAAGGAAGTGGAGGCAGCCTGCTGGCAGGCATCTCGGGGCGGGGCGGGGGGGGGGGGGCCTGGCCTGGTCCTCCAGGGTGTGGGGGTGACTCCCTCCCCCTGGTTTTGGTCCAGTGCTCTGGGCCAAGGGACCCTCACCTGGGTGCCCCCACCGTCATGCCAGGGGCGGGGCACTGGGGTGGGGGCCAGATCCAGTATCTTACCCATCTTTGAGCTGTTTGGCAGCCTAGAAAGAGGGACAGAATAAAATTCAGAGTGTCTAGACTGAATTAGAAAGCCACTGCACAGACAGGAAGACTGAGGTCCAGCGTGGCAGCCATTTGCCGGAGTCCCCGGCACCGGGGCAGAAGCCCGTGGCTGCGCCCTGAAAGGACAGAAGGGCAAAGACAGGCTCCAGCCCTCCCCCACCCCCGCCCAGGGCCCAGAACGCACAGTTGGCAGAGTGAGCAAATCAAAGATACAGGACAGCCAGTTAATTTGCATTTGAGATCAACAATGCTTTTTTTTAGAATAGGTTATGTCCTAATCTATATTTACAACACACATCAATACATCAATAGGTACATATATAAATATATCTATTGCTTTTCTTTTTCTTTAATTTCAGAGAGGAAGAAAGAGGTAGAAACATCAACGATGAGAGGGAATCACTGATTGGCTGCCTCCTGCACGTTGGACCGAGCCTACAACCCAGGCATGTGCCCTTGACCGGCATTGAACGTGGGACTTTTCCATCCACAGGCCAGCACTCTGCTGAGCCAAGCCAGCGAGGGTGACAATAGGCATTAGAAGCTGCAACTTTAAGGGAAATGAGTGATAAAATCAGCTTTATGGTAGGCTAATTGAGATAAACCAGAATTAGTTTCCTATAGCCTATTTCTGGTCACAAGAGCATCACCAAACTTCTAAATAAAGACCCCAAACACTTGTACTATTAAACATGGAAAGAACTGAGCCGTTTCCAACCTCGTGTTTCCAGTTCAGGGTTGCAGGTGGCTGGAGCCTCTCCCAGCAGCTCAGGCACAAGGTAGGAGCCCACCCACCTGGACAGGCACCTTTCCATCACAGGTGCACTGATACCCACCCAGACCGACCCAGGCTGGGACCGTGTGGCCACGCCAGTCCCCCCACATGCACAGCTTTGGGAGGTGGGAGGGAACTGGAGTCCCTGGAGAAAACCCACGCAGACATGGAGAGAACACACACACCACACAGAGCTGCCTCAACCAGAATGTGTTCCCACATCCATGTTATAGCAGAACAACTTTGAATAGAACAGTGTCATTCAAGGGCCTGCTGTACTGAATAGTGCATGGGATAGAGCATACTAAAAAGTTACTCACTGTTAAATTTAAATTTCAAATAAATAATTATTTTAATATAAATATGTCCCATGCAACATTTGAGAAATACTTACATAAGCATTTGCAAGGGATATACTTATACTAAAAAAAAATTTTTCTTTCTTAAATATGATCTTCAGATTAACTACAAGTAATAATTATTTACTTATTTTTAAAACTTTTATTTCTTGATTTTCAGAGAGAGAGGGGGGGGGGGACAGAGAGAGAGAATTTGTTGTTCGACCAATTCATTCATTCACTGGTTAATTCTTGCTCATGCCCTGAGCAGGGATCTGCAACCTTGGGTCATTGGAATGATGCTTCAACCACAACACCTGGCTGAGGCCAATATATATATTGATCACACAGAACATACTTATACTAAATATTGCATGGGCCACACTTTACTAAAAAGGCACTCGTGGTGGATGTGAAATGCAAATGGAACGGGGTGTCCTGTATTGAGTGGCAGCCCTACCAGCACGGCTTCTGAGCCCACCTGCGGGAAGTCTGCGCGGTCCGTGGCCTGCAGCGTCTGGTTGGCCGTCTCCAGAAGCTCCTCGGAGCTCTCCAGGGCCCGCGTGCAGGCGGCCAGCTGGTTCTGTGGGTGGCAGGGCACTGAGGGAGGAAGCTTCTCACCCGGTGCATCACGCCTCCCCCACCCCCCACTGCCTTTGGGGTTCAGGGCACCACACCCCCCCACTCCAGTGGGAGAGGGAGCTGGGCAAAGGCTGGGTGTTGCTCCTTGAAGAATATTAGAACCACGTGGGGATCCCTCCTCACTCACTCCCATGCCCAGGCCACACCTGAGCCCAGGGCCCAGCATCCCTGGGGATGAGCGTGTGGGGTTTAGGAAGTTGCCAGGAGGTTTCAGTACAGCCCCACCAACCCCACAGGAGCCATGGGGGTGTCTGGCCATCAGATCTGGGGGACCAGTGGGAAGGGCTGAGAAGCTGGAGTCACTGGGGGAGAACGGGAGGGAGGAACAGCCAGCTGTGGGGATGTGGCTGTGGCGATGGAGAGAGGCGGGTGGAGTGGGCGGGATTAAGAGGGAGAACAGGTGGGTGGGGATTGACAGGTCATGGCCAAGGAGGGGACAGGCAAAGACCAGGGAAAGAGGAGGCGAGGCCAGCACCAGCAGGGTGTCTGGCTCCGGACACCGGGAACACGGAGCACCTCTGAGAAGGGACGCAGGGAAAGGAGCAGGTTTGGGGAAAGGCACGAGGCCAGCTGAGATCTGTTAACCTGAGGGGTGCCGTGGAGATGGCACGGGGCAGGGGTCCCAGGGAGCCCCGTGACACGCACCTGCAGCTCGTAGGTGCGGCTGGCACGGTCCTGCTTTATCTTCATGAGCATCCCCTCCTTCAGCTCCTCCAGGAGGGAGAAGAGGGACTGGAACTCCGCCTCCAGGTCCTCCTGCACCTTGGCCGAGTTCGCCTGGGAGAGAGGGTTCAGGTCTGAACAGCCAGGACTGGCCAAAGCCCACGCTCAGATGGGGAAACTGAGGCCTGGACATGGCAGCCGGGCCCCCGGTGCCACAGTTATCAGCAGCCACAGGCTAGCTCAGTGGTGGGCAAACTGCGGCTCTCGAACCTCGGTTTGCCGCTCTGTTGACTAATGAGTTTGCTGACCCCTGGGATAGGGGCTTAATCACAAGGAACAACAACAGCCTGTAGTTATTGGAATCGAGAATCTAGCTCATAGGGCCGCCCCCTCCCTCCCATCACCTGCCCTCACCTCCATGTTCAGCAGCATCTGCTTGAGGGAGTAGATAAAACTCTGGATCTCTTCGTTCTTCACGGCCAGCGTGGTGATGATCTTCCGCAGAGCCTCCTGCCCCCACGGGAAGCGTGTACACACACGTACACACACACACACACACACACACACACACACACACACACACATGGCCGGTCAGCCCCTCCGCCTGGCCCAGCTCCCTCACCTGGAGCTCATCCCTCCAACCTCCAGAGACGCAGGGAGATGAGGGACCACGGTGCCAATGCCCTCAGCAGGAGGCAGGCCCTGGGTGGGGCCCTGGGTCCTACCTTCCCTCACCCAGCAGGTGGACACCCTGAAGACACCCATTTCACAGGAGAGGAGACTGAGGCCCAGAGTGAGCCTCTCAACTCTGGGAACAAACTGGGCGGGACCACAAAGCCCTCAAACCTACATCCTGAGGGCGGGGCATGCTAAGGTGAGGGGCTAGCTCGGGAAAAGAAAGCCCCAAAGGAAAGTGATGCCTGCAGCCAATGGGAGTGGGGAAAGCCTTGGGAAAGGGATTGGCAAGGAGAAAGGAGGCTGAGAGCGGGTGCCAGAGAGCCCAGGTAAGTGGGGCGGGGGGATGGTCTGGAGGAGGGAATGCTGGGAGGGAAGGCGCATGGGAGGGTCTTGCTGGAGCCTGTCGCTCGGACCCAGGTCTCCGCGGGCCTGTGTTCTGGGGCGCGGGGTCGGTGGAGTCACCTGTGCGGAGCGGGCGGGGCGGGGCGGGGACACCTGGCCCGCAGTCCGGAGGGAAGGCGTGGGGGGTGGGGGTCAAGGCTGCGTCCGGGATAGTGGGCGGAGGTGGGGGTGGGGGTGGGGGTGGAGGGGATGCATCTGAACCCAGGCTAGGATTAGGAGGAGTCTGGGCAAATGTGGGGGCTACGGCCCCGATGGAGGGGCTGGGCTGGGCCAGGCTGCGGCAGGGGCGGAGTCTGCACCGCAGAGCGGCTGCGGGCGGGGGCGAGGGCGCTGCGGCATCCTCCGGTCCCCTCGCTCTGGGTACCCCGGGGCGGTCCCTCCCGCCCCGCCTGGTCTTACCCTCTGGTCCTCCATGGCTGCAGCCCGGCTCGGCCGGCCCGGCCCGCCGGCACGCTCGCTCTCGTCCCCAAGCGGGC